GGAGGTGCTGGGATTGGCGCCAGTGTGGGATTTCCTTGACCTCTCTTTCGGCTACGGCTCGTGTGCGTCCTCCCTCCCTTGCTCGCTGTCTTCATTCGCTCTCTCTCTCTCTCTCTCTTTCTACCTCTACCTCCCTCTCTCTCTCTCTCTAGCTCCCTCGCCCCTGCGGGCCTGGGCCGGCGCCTGGCCCTCGGTGGCTGCGCCCGCGCGTGCAGCGGCCGCTCCTGCCCGCTCTCTCTCTCGCGGGCGGGGGCGCCGCGCGTGCGGCGGGCGCGGCTCCGCGCCCCCGGCGCCCGCGGGCTGGGCCCGCCCGCCCGGGTGCTTGTTTTGTGTGCTGGCGGTGTCCATCCGACCTGCCTGAAGTCGAGATGGCGGGCGGAGGTCGGCTCCTGGGCCGGGGGGAAGACAATGCCAGAGCTCCAACGGCTCGCGGAATGCCGGGGGACAGGAGCAGTCTTAAGACAGGGCTAGGATCGGGATAAATCGCTCCAGAGCGTTCCGGAGCGCTCTCAGAGCGTTCCAGAACGCTCTGGAGCGGCCGCGGCGCCCAATACATCCTCCAAACCCGCCGTTTCTCAGAGATCTCGAGTCATCCCGATCCGATTTTGCCCCGATCTTCGCGTCGTTTTTTGAGTCTTCCGCCGGCCCAGGGCCAGCAGAACTTCCCCTCGAGACTCTTCGAGGGGCCCCGCGGGCACCGGGAGTGGGCCTCCGGGGCGGGCCCATGAGCTTCCCCCGAGACTCCTCGAGGGGCCCAGCGGGCGCCGGGAGTGGGCCTCCGAGGGGCGGGGGCCCTCGCGGGCGCCCCCGCTGCCGGGGTGGCGTCCCTCGGCCCGCGCTATGCTGCACACACCCTGCGGCAGGCTCGCCCTCCCGGCGCCGCCCGGCAGCACCGACATCTGAGCTCAGGGAGGAGGAGGAGGAGGAGGAGGAGGAGGAGGAGGCGGAGGAGGAGGAGGATGAGAGGAGGAGGAGGAGGAGGAGGGGAGGAGGAGGAGGAGGAGGAGGAGGAGGAGGAGGAGGAGGAGGAGGAGGAGGAGGCGGAGAGGGGAGGAGGAGGAGGAGGAGGAGGGAGGAGGAGAGAGGAGGAGGAGGGGGGGTGGGGTGGGGGAGAGAGGAGGAGGAGGAGGAGGAGGAGGAGGAGGAGGAGGAGGCGGAGGAGGAGGAGGAGGAGGAGGAGGAGGAGGAGGAGGAGGAGGAGGAGGAGGAGGAGGGGAAGGAGGAGGAGGAGGAGGAGAGGGGAGGAGGAGGGAGGAGGAGGAGGAGGAGGAGGAGGAGGACGGATGAGGAGGATGGCGGAGGAGGAGGAGGAGGAGGAGGAGGAGGAGGAGGAGGAGGAGGAGGAGGGGGAGGGGGAGGGGGAGAGGGAGGGGAGGGGGTGGAGGAGGAGGAGGAGGAGGAGGAGGAGGAGGAGGAGGAGGGGGAGGACTTCTCTTTGACCACGCCAGAGTACCCCCTTGCTGTCTGTGAGAGCCCCAGAGAGAAGGCAGTCGACGCTCGTGCTCGTGCTCGTGCTCTCTGCTCTCCACGCTCGTGCTGCTGCTCTCCGCGCGCGGCGCTCAGTTTATCGTGGCGCCTGTCGGGCCCAGGTGGTCTGGAATCGTCCTGTGCCGGCGGCCACGGTGCGCCCTTCATGCGGTGAGTTCGATGCTCCCGCGTCTCCGCTGGGACGAGGGTGAGTGTGCATGAACCTTGCTGGTCTTATGTCAGAAAAAAATAAGTCAGTCGATTGAGAACAAGCTTGTACTGACTCACCAGACAAACCGCTGTGGAGAATGACCTGTGCAAGTTGAAGTGTTCATCGCCATACGGGCATCAGCATAGGTGGAGAGAAAGAGATAGAGAGACAGAGGGCCGAAAAGAGCTCTTAGAGGCAGCCTTGTCTGGCGCGCGGGATCCGTCGAGATGCGTGCCCGTAGCCCGCACGTCGCTTGGATAACAAAAGAGAGGAAGTGGGATACAGAACGCAACGCAACGCAAATGCCGCGATGGGTGCGCATGCGGGGTTCCCCCTTGGGGGCGGCGGCGACTTGCTAACAGTGCGCGCGGGGACGGGTGCCGGGGCCGCATCGTAGTTGCGTGGGGTGCACGACCCAGGCCTGCCTTCTCAGGGCGGGGCTCAGTGGCCGGGAAGAAGGGAGTGATCGGGCTTCGGAGCTACATCGCGAACGCGTGCCGGAAAGAGAGAGAGAGGGAGAGAGGGAGAGAGAGGCCCAAACTGCGGGAATGGGCGCCCCCCTTGCTGCGGACAATTTAGCCTTGATGTTACTTGTGTATGTAAGTGGGCGCTTCGCCCAAACCGGTTCGCCCAAGAAAGGCAAACAGCACAAGAGAACGACTCGACTAAATATGTGGCAGGGCGGCCTTTCAGATAAGTGGAAGAACGGCGCACTGACTAAGTGGGAGAGCGGTTTTCAGGTAAGTGGGAGCGCTCTTGGGGAAAGGCAGGTGGTAGAATGGCACTTGCGTTGAGTGGTAGGATGGCCCGGCGGTCATGAGGTCCCAAGGGGTATCTGGAGATCCCCAGATTTCTGAAGGTCTCTGGGGAGCGAGGAGGAGGAGGAGGAGGAGGAGGAGGAGGAGGAGGAGGAGGAAGAGGAGGAGGAGGAGGAGGAGGAGGAGGAGGAGGAGGAGGAGGAGGAGGGGGAGGGCCGTTCGGTGTTTCCCCTTCCTCCCTCTTTACCTTGTGCCTACAGCTACGGTGCATGTGCGGTGCCTAGTTTTTTCGGCAGTCATGGGAGGAGGAGGGAGGAGGCTGAGGGTGGAGGGATCAGGGAGGAGCGAGGATCGAGGAGCAGCGGGAGTTGCAGCAGGAGGAGGAGGACCTTCCTCTCTCCCCCCAAGACCCCACGAGGTGTGCGGGCTGGTACGCTCCGGCCGCCTCCGCCAGGCGGCCGAGATCGCGGAGGAGGCCTGCGTCGGCGGCAGCGATCAAAGCTCCCCGAGGGCACCTGGGCTGAACCAAGAGCCGCTGCAGCAGCTGTTCCGGGAGCTGCAGAGGCAGGGGCTCATGGGCGAGCTGGGGAACCCGCTCGCTGAGAAACTTCGGGCTGCAGGCGGGAGGGAAGAGGAGGGGAGAGTACGGCGGAGGGAGCAGGGAGAACGGGGGAGGGAGGGAGGGAGGAAGAGGAGGAGGAGGAGGAGGAGGAGGAGGAGGAGGAGGAGGAGGAGGAGGAGAAGGACAAGCGCACGGCAGATTAGGGGTCCAGGTCGACTCGGCAACGAGTTGCAAAGCCAGAGGCGCGGTGCACCGTGGCACCATGCGGCCTCCGAGTGCCGCCGCGGGGCAGCGCCTTCTGCGAGGCTCTTCGACCTGCGGCATTATGCCTTACGTGCTCGAGGGCCCAGGAGGGCAAACCAGAGTGCAGGCTTGCTCTCCCAGTCGAGCACACATGATGTTTCTCGCTGTGCGGCGGAGGGAGGCACCTCGAGAGGCACTGACCCGCGAGCGATCTCTATCGGATAGGGTCTGCGCTCGACCTCTGCCGCCAAGGAGTCTACGTAGTTTCTCTGGCTTTATCCATTAAGTTTGTTGCTTTGTGGATGGCGGACCTGCGTGATGCAGAGGCCTGACAGAGATTGGCTTCTGGCGCTGCTGCCGTCGGCGCCGGACGGACGCCAATCCCCTTCAGCCCACTCAGCGGGAGAAGGATACGAGAACTACGTCCAATGGAAAGAATCTCACTTCTTCCTCGAGCGCAGCACCCCCGTCATCCCCGGTATGCCCCAGGCAGCCGCAGGCTGCTCAGTGCGACCCATGCCTCTGGCCGTGGAGGCGCCCTGCTTCTCGAAGGCGCTCTGCTTTCTCCTGACAAAGCGAGCTCCGGGCACTGCTGGGGAGCGTCGTCGAGCGGCTCGGCGGCGCTCTGCTCCTCGGGGGCGCTGGGCTCCTCAGCGAGGGCGTGCTGCTGCTCCTCGAGGGCGTGCTGTTCCTCGAGGGCGTGATGCTTCCCCTCGACGTCGTGCTTCTGCTCCTCGGAGGTCTGGAAGGCGTGCTACTCCTCGAATGGTGTGTGCTTCTCCTCGAAGGCGTAGTGCTCCTCGAGGTCGTGCTGCTTCTCGAAAGCGTTCTGCGGTTCCTCGAAAGTGCGCTGCTCCTCGAAGGCTTGCTGCCCCTCCTCCTTGAAGGCGTGCTGTTCCTCGAGGGCTCTCTGCTGCTCCTCGAAGGTGTGCTGCTCCTCGAAAGTGTCACGCTGCCCCTCACAGGCACGGTGCTCTTCGACGGCGTGCTGCTCCTCGAGGGCGTGCTGCTGCTCCTCCGAGGCGCGCGGCTCCTCGGAGGCCTGCTGCTGCTCCTCGAGGGCGTGCTGCTCCGCGAGGGCGCAGACCTCGGGCGGCTCCGAGAAGGAGCCCACGCCGTGCTCCCGCGCGGCTCTGGCGCCGCGTCGCACTGGGCGCCTGCGTGCAGCACCCCGCGGCCGGGCGGCGCGCCGGGCGCGCATGGAGCGCGGCCGGGCGCCAGCTCGCCTGCTGCCACACGGCGAGGGTGCGCTGCGCGAGGGCCGCACGGTGGGCGGCACGCTGCGGCTCCGGCTCCAGGCCGTGCTGCTGCCCCTCGCCCGGGGTGGGCTATCGGGGGCCCGAACATAGACACCACCACCACCACCACCTGCCTCCCCCCCTCCCTCTCGCTGGAGAGAGGCGGGAGGAGGAATCGACGACGTGGTGGTGGTGGTGTATAGTCCTTGGGCCCCCAGACTCGGCGAGGCGGGGGCCGAAGCGGTGGCCGCTGTGGCCTGCCGGAGCCGGGACCGCCTGAGCCAAGCAGGAGGCAGGGTTAAGGCGAGGGCGCCCGAGGGGGTGCAGCTCCCGAGGCTCGGAAGGCCAGCCGGACCCCTGCGTGGGCCGCACGGATGCAGGGCCCTCCGCTGCCCGTGAGGGCCCGCCTGCCCGGAGCGTTGGGGGCCTGCCTGGCCCGGCCGCCGAGGCGGCGGGGGGGCCTGCCGAGCTCCGGAGGGCACGCCGCGTGAACGAGAGGTGGAGGCCGGGCCGCGGGCCCTCGCCCGGGCGTGCACCCCCTCCCGAGACCCGTGCACTGAGGAGGAGGAGGAGGAGGAGGAGGAGGAGGAGGAGGAGGAGGAGGAGGAGGAGGTCGACGAGAAGGAGGAGGAGGAGGAGGAAAAGGAGGTCGACGAGAAGGAGGAGGAGGAAAAGGAGGTCGACGAGAAGGAGGAGGAGGAGGAGGAGGAGGAGGAGAAGGAGGAGGAGGGGGTGGTGGAGGAGGAGGCGGAGGAGGAGGAGGTGGATGGAGCATAATCGCAAACTGGAACACATACATTACCAGTGGAGGGTTGCTTTTCAATCACGCACACGACTTGTTTTAAGGGTCAGGGACGACGTCGGGGTGGTGTGGCGGATATTTTCCCCCCGTTTTCCAGGGGAAGCAACGACAAATGTATAGGCCAGGATCCTGTATACACCAGAATCCGCGCTCCTGGGCGAATTTCAGCGCAGGGTCGGGAAAAGTGTCGGTGTATATAGAGTTCGCCTCCCTACATAAGAATTCGGGCAATCACTGCTTGCTCGCTCTGCTTACCGCTTCTCCTGGGAGGTGCTGTGTCAGTGCACTGTCGGGTCAGCTCTGGGTCCGCTGCGTCGGTGGGTCGGCTCCGCTGCCGGTGGGAGGCGAGGCGTGGAGGAGAGGTCGAGGCACTCTCTCTGGCTGGGAGGCGCCTCGAACTTGTCGTTCAGGGTTGGCGGGCGGCGGCGGGCGGGAGGGCCCGCGTGCTACTGCTGCTGCTCATTCCTCATCTCTCCTCCTCTTCCTCCTGGCCTGCCCGTGATCTCTTCTCCGCCCACGCGGGGAATTCTTGATAGCTCTGCAAACTTGTCCTGGGATTTGTTCATCGTCTAGATCTGCAGCTCGAGAAGCTGGGAACGCTCTCAGTCTCCGAGGTTCTTCTCACCCTGGCAACGGTGGGCGTTCTGGCTCTGAGCGAAAATCTGATTGAGTTTCTGTTCCTACAGGAGGCGCCATTCGCAGCGCACACGCTGTCTCTGGTCCTATAGAATCTGCTCTGTGGCATTGGGTACCTCCCTGGCCGCCGCTGCCGCATCTAATTCCTGGACCTGTGCTGGCTGTAGTTCCTCGGCCTGGCCAACGTTGTCCTGCGCTCTCCGTCTGACTCTCCCTGCGAGCCCCGACATGTTTGTGTGGTTCCCTTCTTCCAGGGTGGTCACTGACTACAGCTTCTTGAGCCACTGCACCTGCGCACCGTCTGGGAGTCGGAGTTGGGTTGGAGGGGGGCTCTGGGCCCTGAGGGGCCAGTTGGAGGGGCAACAGGACAGGGCTGCGGGGCTTTCTGGAGGCTGTTACGTTGGGTCCCTTTGGTGCGGCCGAAGCTGCATCGTCACAGTCGCAGTCGTAACAGCCGTACCTCCTTTGTGTCCCATCGTTCCGTCAGATCTCCCTGCGCCTCCTTGCCATTGTTGGAGTACCCTTTTTTTGGAAGCCCGTCGTTGCTTGCCGTTGCTTACCTTGGGGCCTCTTACGAGATGGGAGACGTTGGGCCCCCCTTTCGCCTTGCTGATGTTCTGGGTCCTCTGGGTCGGTTTCACAGTGGACGGGGGGTGGGGGACGTGGGGCCCTCTGAGGCTCGTACTGCAGCTCGCACAGTGCCGGCTCTGCTCCTACTGCTTGCCCTTGCTTTCGCTTGGCTTGTCACCCTCGACGTCATCCTTCTCCTCGGGCTTAATCTTCTCAGTGATGTTGGTCGCCGCGTGCACGTTCGGCGCAGGCACACCTTTCTCGCTGTCGTGCTTGCCCTCCATGTCCTGGTAGCCCCTTTTGGCTTGCAGCAGCTTTTCGTGGACCTGGCTCTGCGGGTTGAGCATGTAATATTCGTGCAACGCCTCATGGATCTCTGCGATCTCGATGTTTTCGTCTCTGTCATCGTTCTCATCCTTGCCATTTGCGGCTCTGCCGTCCGAAAGGTCTCCACGTCTCCTCATTGTTCGGGTCGAGCGCTGCCCAGATCTCTGGCGATACCCATTTGCTCTCGTCCAGTGTCTGCCATCCATGCACCGCCCGGCTTTCCTCATCCTCCGGGTCCCAGAGCGTGTAGAATTGCTTGGTTTTCTTCTCGAAGCCGTCTGCCACCTCGCCCTGCGTGAAGTAGTTCTTTTTCCATCATGAGGCCCCTTATCTTGAGCACGTCCTCGATGATTGTGTCGAGCCTCTTTTCTGTGATAGTTGAGCGTGCCGATGTTCGCTGCCTTCTGTTCCTCGCAGGCGTTCGGGCTGTCCTCTTTATGCGCCATCGTCTTGCTGAGCGCCCATTCGACTCTAAATTTCTGTTCCAGCGTCTTTTTCAAAAAAGTGTTGATCCAGCCCACTTGGTCGTACATCGTTTTGGCGAAGCTCTGGGTCTCGACCTGCGCTAACTCCGACGTCGACATGTCACTTTGGTAGCAGTAGCTTCGTTGCTTTGGTTCGTTTCTGGAATGTAAGTCCCGAACTTGACCATCCTTGCTCCAGTCTTTGCACCAGCAGCCTTTGGGTCCCGTCGTGGCCTCCCTAGTAGGTCCGCCAGTCTGCTGGAGTTCCCTGCAGCACTCATACTGATTTCTGCCAGGTTTGCGCTTGTGCGGCCATCTTCTGTTCTCTCGATTCCCCTATGTCCTGTTGCTTTGCAGGTACCCTCTCACGGTGCCACCTTCCTCTTCTTGCCGGTTTTGCCCTTGCCCTTGCTCTTCCCCTTCTTGTTCTCCTTCCCAGCCTCCTCCGACGAGTGGTGGTCGATTTCCCAGGGTCCGTGCGTGATAGAGTCCATCGGTTCTCTTGGAATAATTGAGCATGACGTTTATGGTACCCGTGACGTTCTTGTACAGCTCAATGTTTTTGGTCAGAGTCTCGTCTCGATGAGTCTGTACGCGAGTCTGTACCCTGGCCTACTGATGACGTGCGCTGGCCGGTTTGTTGTGGCTTGCTTTCAACGTGTGCTTGAGCTTCAGCGCCTTCTGCTTTTGGCTGCCCACCGTGTACCAGACCCTGTTCATCGTTGCCGTCATTCCATCCAGCACTTCGGTCGTTTCCATGGCGGCCAGCCTTGTGAAGCTG